GATATTTACATAGTTTTTTACTTGCTCAACTCACAACGTGCTAAATTTGAACATAAAACTTCACAAGATACCCCACGCCGCTCCCTTATTATTCACATTCCCAGCCATAAATGGTGCTCTAGGAGCCCAGTTTCCCGACATCAGCCATTTACACGATGTCTCCAATCCTTTATAGTTTTACATGTTCCCTCAACCACTAGTTTCCGATCACCAAAGATCATGAATTGTTCTGTTGTTCTGTTATTCCATAAGTGGAATAGAAGCTCCAAGAACAGAGAAACTGAGAGGAAGTAGAGTTCAGTGGTTAAGAAAACTGGCTCTAGTGTCAGACTTTCTAGGTATAATTCTGGTTCTATCACTTATTATCTAGATGACCTGCAGGTTATTTTGGCTTGAAGAGTGTCCTCTTTTCAAGTGATTTTCTGACTAAGAGAAACACCAAAGGTTATTTCCTCTATTTTAAATTCTTAAATACTTTACAAACCATTTGACTCTAATAAGTCTACCAACTTCTCCAAATGGTAGGCAGTGTAACAAGTCCCAAGGTCTGTTCCCTTATCCAGTTGTGAAATTCATTTCTTTTTTTTTTTTTTAAGATTTTAATTTTTTTAAGTAAACGCTACACTCAACGTGGGGCTTGAACTCACAACCTTAAGATCAAGAGTCACATGCTCTACCGACTGAGCCAGCTAGGCACGCCCCCCCCCCCCCCCCCCCCTTTTCTGATTCGATCCATAAACGTACAAAACACACAGCTAAGTATTTTAAGAAGCAGGTGCAAAAAGAAAGCCTTGTTGGTAATACAACATGTTAGATATGCATCCAATTTTCAGGCCAGCTGACCAAGAATACTGGAATTCACCAACATGAAGTAACCCAATGGGCCCAGTAAGACAAGAATGAATTTCTCTTTTTATATCTCTTGTGGTCAGAAAGTACTTTTGTTCACTTGGGGAAACAGGACCGATGGGGAAGACCAAAGCCAGGACTGAGGAGAGGGCAAGGGCAGCATGCCTAAGTATCTCTGCTCTGTTCACATCTGGCTTGTATTATCAACACTGCTTTTTCAGAAACCATCAATCTTAACAGGCAGAAATCCCAAAGAGAATAGTAACAAACTGTTAACAATGTTATCTACAGAAACAAAATCCCAGCATTGCTGTTTAAGGCTGTCATGTCTCCAGAGGGAGCACAAACAGAGCTTCTGCTTCGCACATGCCAGCCAATGCCCACCAGGATGCCAGACAGGAGGGCCTCACTGGGGTAAACACATATTGCCAGCATAACAACATACTACACACACTCTCCTAAGGTCAGGCCAAGTATGCTAATGAAGTTAGATTTATGTTTTCTTTCCTTCCTTCCTGTTAAGTAAAAAAGAACATCACTAAGAAACACATGAAAATAATTTATTTATTTTGGCTTTGAATGAACTATTCCTTATTCCCCACTCCTCAATTTCTTAGCTTTTAGTTCTCCACTGAAATGCTTTGCTCTGCATAATCTCAGGCATTTTAGTTATTCAAGAACAACAACAAAAAAGTTAGTTTAATCTTAACTAGATAGCTGAAGATTTCACCAAGGATTACAGGCAGATCACAAGGATCAAGACCTCAGTTCTCTCAACATAATGGAGTAAGTTAGCAAAAATAAAACTTTTATTGAGTAAGTAAAGAGGTATAGTTGAATGGGAAAAAAATAATAGTGGCCCAGAATCCTCTTTAAGAGTATTTAGGTCCAAAGTAATAAAGGCAATAACTCACACTACACAAAAAGAGCACTTGTCTGACTTCATGTGTTTATTCTCTCTTAAATGGATACTACCATGTAGTGTAAACCCTGAGAGGTTTTTTTTTGTTGTTGTTGTTTTGTAATGCAAGTGCCTGACTTAGGCTTTGATTGCAATGGCATCCACTGCCAAGATGTTTATCTCAAATAAACACATTGTCAGCCACATGACTAGAGAAAGAGCCAGGCCACCTCCCCCAACTGAGGCTCCTTTGTTTTAGAAATCCTAGTTGATTTCAATAACTGACCATTTAGGCCACTTGCTTCTTCTCTTCCCACGCTTTAAGTTCCTGCTCTTATGTTTTAAATTCACCAATAAACAGTGAGCCTGCAAAACCCTAGTTTCCCATCCTCAATTCTATTTAAAGCAGAACCTCAGGTATGTGCATGCTCTCTGTCTACCTGTGACCTCAATGTCTGGCCCCACGTGAGCTGTGTAATTTCCAGGTTCTGTAAGCAATAAACTTTTACTTTTTCAAAGTTTCCTGATGGTTACCACTTAAGGGTATCCTGTAATCATAGTAAAAACCACAAGGGCGGTCAAGCCACGACACCGGCTAGGGACAGGCTGAGACCAACAAAAAACACTACTATCTATAAATTGAGTGACTGTGACAGATGGAAAAACATCACAGAAGCAAGCCAACAGGTCCAGGCTCATCTAAACAAACCATAACTTTAGTCCACTTCCTAGACACTAACCATTATGGACACAAGCCCAATTACAAGGGACCAAATTAGACCAAAAATGAAACAGAAGCTACAGAGGTCCATCTGAAGCAGTATCTTATGTTGTAAAATGTTACAAATATCAAATCCTTCCAAATTAAGACAAGCTATTCCTCTGCATCCATTTTTTTTTTTTATTTTTTTATTTTAAAAAAAAATTTTTTTTTTTTCAACGTTTATTTATTTTTGGGACAGAGAGAGACAGAGCATGAACAGGGGAGGGGCAGAAAGAGAGGGAGACACAGAATCGGAAACAGGCTCCAGGCTCCGAGCCATCAGCCCAGAGCCTGACGCGGGGCTCGAACTCACGGACTGCGAGATCGTGACCTGGCTGAAGTCGGACGCTTAACCGACTGCGCCACCCAGGCGCCCCTCCGCATCCATTTCTTAACTACTACCAATTTGCAGATGTAACTGCATTATGAGTGTCCGTTATTTTCTGCTAGGTTTGTTAAGGTTTCTACTCCTCTCCACCTGATCCCTATGTGTATTTGTCTTAAAACAAAATTCATCATATAAGGAATCACCAATTTTAAAATATGCTGCACTTGGGGGGGTACCCAGGTGGCTCAGTCGGTTAAGCGTCTAATTTTTGATTTTGGCTCAGGTCATGATCTTGTGGTTCATGGGTTTGAGATCCGCATTGGGCTCTGTGCTGATGCTGATGGTATAGAGACTGCTTGGGATTCTGTCTCCCTCTCTCTCTGCCCCTCCTCTAATGTGCATGCTCTCTCTCTCTCTCAAAAATAAGCATTGAAATATATTATACTTTAATTCACACCAGTTAATTAATACGTGCCCACAATCACAGAATAACAGCAGGGAGATATGCAACTATCTGATGATGAACTGCACTAACAGCCCTGGTATTTGTTTACATATAAACACCGAGCTGCTGAGTTTCACGGCAGATCCTGGGGATGGTTAGTCAAAATCTACCAATGATCCTATCACGGGGAGATGAAAAGACTTGGAATGACAAATTAAATGGCTTCCAGGTTTTGGCTGTCATGTATGGGCCCATGCTGCTGAATCACAGCACACTCAAGTTTAAAACTCAGGTTAACAGACTCTTCTAAGACAGTAGTTTGCAAATATAAATGACTGACGCCCCATCTGCTCACTTCCAAGTCTCCACACCCTTTCTTCTCCATCTTTGACCCTTGGAAATCCTACGGCTCTGAAAAACATGGCTGGGAAATCACTATCTAAACATACAGGGAGGCAACAGGCAAAGAGCTGCTGAGATCTCTATTTTCTTTTTCAATAAGGATGTTTCCGGCTGATTCCTGATTGGTGGGATGTATGCTGAAGTTTGATTCTAAGTGTTTGGGTATCTACTGGATTTCCTACCTACTTCTTCTCAGTCTCCTAACTGGTCTAGTAAGCTGTGGTTATGGTGTTTTTCCTAACCAGAATCCACTGACTAATGTTAAGAATATGGGCTGTGGAGGGCGCCTGGGTGGCTCAGTCGGTTAGACGTCCGACTTCAGCCCAGGTCACGATCTTGCGGTCCATGAGTTCGAGCCCCGTGTCGGGCTCTGGGCTGATGGCTCAGAGCCTGGAGCCTGCTTCTGATTCTGTGTCTCCCTCTCTCTCTGCCCCTCTCCTGTTCATGCTCTGTCTCTCTCTGTCTCAAAAATAAATAAACGTTAAAAAAAAAAAAATTTTTTTTAAAAGAATATGGGCTGTGGGAAAGAATGGCTACAAAATGCCACCAGCACACACGTACAATACTCTATGGTGGTTGCCACTTTGGGTTTGAAACCCTAATAAAAACACCTTAGAAGGCTTTGATCTACTATGAAAAACTGTCTTGAAATATATGGTCTCAAAATTTGCAAGGATATACCCTAAACTGTTAGTCAATGGTGATCTCTGGCTGATATCACTATTAGAAATTTTTATTTTCTTCACATTGCTTATATATCTATTTATTTTTCTTCAACTCATATTACCTATTACCTGTTAGCTTTTAGCCTAATTACTATAATGTCCTTATGACTTCTGCCTGGGTTTTGATTTGTCAGAATAGAGCAGTTCTAAACGGTAACCAGAGCGCTCCTCTGCTCTTTGGACTTCTAAGGACTCTCCAATAAATGCCTAAAGTTTCTTGCCAATCCTATTCTACCACTCAGAAGGCTTTAACTTTCTAGAGAGCGCAGTAGGTGAAAATACACCAAATAGCATTTGGTCATTGGTCAAGTGATTCTGGTACAAGATCTAGAAGGGTCAGCATGGTTTAGAATGAATGCTACCACATATTGGTGTCAGAGATAAACTGTGGGTTCTGGCATACCATGCTGGTCACAGGGATCGTGGGGGCACACCAGATCCTTAGATTTTCCATAGAATAATCTAGCTAATAGACTAATTACTGAAAAATACTCCACACTAGTGCAGCTTTTTACTCATATGTCTTAGGAGGCAGAGTAGCACCGACTCCAGTCAATCCCGAGTTAGTATTATCCGATTAAGCTCACCTTTGTGGCCATGATCTTCACCCCATGAATTCTCCACTCTCCATTTCACAAATGTACCATCCTGATCATCCTGCAAAAAAGTGGATAACAGTGTATGGTTGGAAACTAGATCCCTCCTGCTGAGGTGTCACGTAATTTTAGCTTTTCTTCAGCCACTTAGAAGAAACAGCGTTCTCTATGCAGCCATGATCTACATGACCAGGGCCAAATATTCTCTACTATAACTAAAGGGATACTCTAATAGAAATGGGGTTTAACTCTCGAGGTAAAAATGCAATAAATCTAATAAATACTATTTTCTCCATTACACTGTAGTCTATACTAAAAATAAGCATAATAAAATGCTCCTTGGCTGAAAATACAAAATATTAAATTACTAAAAGTGGTGAATACCATCTGAAGACGGGGACCCTTGCTTTTAATCAATTAGCATTCTTTGTAAAGGCTTCCCACTATATTGATTATAGAAATGATTCTAAGACCTAGTCAGAGTTTTAAAAAGAAAACAAATATATTTTCATCATACAGCCTAATTTTCTCCTTAGGGGAACCAAGTAATGATACTCTCCAAATGTGCACTTTTATTGATTCAGTTACACAAGTATTGAATTTAATACAATACAGATTGAATGGCAAAGCAAAAGGACTATTTTCATAAAACAAAATCCAGATGGTTCTACCGTTCTCCCTCCTCTATCTTCATTAATAAAATAAACTCAATTATAATCTTCTTAAAGGAACAATGACACTTATCATGATAACCTTCATTTATAACCTTTACTATAGTGACACAGAAAGGGACAAGAGGAAGGCTCCATTTGGGAAAAGACTTTATTCTTTTATGTTTACCCAGGGCATTTGCTGATGTCAAAACAACTTAAATCTTTGTAGCATGAGAAGAGCTGGCTGCTGCATTATCTCCTAATGATTTCATCTGTCAACTCCCACTTGCATATAACTGCATGAGTCTCAGCTACATGGGATTTGACTCTACTCTTGGCAGTTTTCTTAGATCTCAGTAATTTTCAGTCTCAGAAAGAGCCAAAAATCAAATCAACAAGTTTCAAACACCCTTATCTGTACCACCCCTGCATCGCAGCCCTAGGTACCTTCAAAACCACATAATTAAACTCTACATTCTGGGGCTCACCTATTAGATGTGTGTTCTGGTTTTCTACCCCCCTCACTGTAGAATATATTTATTTTCCTTTTAAATATCTGTATTAGATCTGTTAGAATCTGTATTACCTAGGGTCATTTATTACAATGAGTCTGCAAATGTTTCCTCTCCTTTCCTCTGCCAATGAATTCCTGCATGGCCTACATACAGCTGTTCTCTATGCCATCTACAAATATAGAATAATACCTGGACCTCCCTCATAGGGATTCCAAGAAATCAGCAACAAGAAAGAATATCCCAGAGTGTAGCTACCAGCGCTTATTTTTGTATAACCATTCAAATGCAGTGCAAACTAGTTTTGGCAGTCAAACCCCAAATTGGAGGGAAGAGAGAAATCTCAATATAAAATTCCAGTTATGATAATATAAATTCTGCTTTATACTATTAGCACATAAAGTGGCTCCATTTCCCTGAGGAAAAAATGACATCTTAATAAACCCTACCAATCAAAGAATGGAAGTTCCACAGAAAATGACATAGTATGTATGATTTTTATTTCTGAGTAAGTATGTATGATTCTTAGTTCTGAAAAACAGGAATATCACACAGATGGAAAATGATAAAAACTGAACCTCTCCTGGAAATTACAGGCTTTTTCATTTATTTTTGTCCTTTAATAATCCTCTAAAAAATTTAAAAATTTAATTTAAGGAGCTTCACTAAATCCACCTTTAGTTATAAATCCACTAAATTTTACAATATAGCAGTCCAAACATACACATATGAACAACTCAATATTTTACTCTAAGTATTTTAGTATTTTATTTAATTTTGTATTTCATTCTATTTTTTATAGTATTTTATGAAAAGTTCCTTCTAATGTTTTGCTTCTAATGTCAAGGTAGTTATTCTGTGACTTTCCAGTGATTTGGCTACAAAAAGAACATTTCTGCTATGATGGTAAAGAATTAAAGTAGTTTGAAGCCTTTTTTTCCTTTGATCACTAGCACAGGGGTAAAATACACACTTTACAGCCTAGAAATGGGTGAGCTTATTTGTGAAAGATAAAATTTCAGTTACTGTTTCCAACACTGTGTCCTAGAAATAGTGACACTACTTTTCACAGTATTTCATAGGAAATTCTAAATACTTTATATTTACATTTTCCTGAATAGCTGTGCATAAATCCAGTAATGGGCACAAAATCCTCAAATTACTGTTCCTGAAATTTTACTGCAGAAGAATCTGAATGACAAATGAAAAGAAGATAAGTCTAAAAACATAAGTCATCAAGATATGAACATAATTTAATTCCTTATAAATAGAAGTTATTTTATTTATAAGTTAATTCCTTATAAATAGAAGTTATCTTCTCCCCCAGGTTCTCTTGCTGATTTCTCTTCACACCAAGAACTTCCAAAGTCACAAAAAAGCTGTTCCTTCCCTACTCTCTTTGACCCAAATTCTGCTCCTCATGGAAAGTTCCTATTTTTATTACCTCTGAGCAGGCAGCCAAACCCCAAGTGACGCGAGTACAATGTTTTACTTGGAAGTTAACTTTTAACAGAAATCACATGAATGAAGCTCTCTTGGATAACAGTCTACAGGAGAATATAGGTCCATCTGTGCAAACACTGCAGTAGGCATGCAGAGGGTCATACCTTCTCTGAGACAGCAGTGAAGGTCATGGCGTGGGTCATAAGTGACTCACCAAAAGTCAACCTCTCAGCTTTATTCATGTTCTTCAAGGAGACACCAAACACTAACTCATGATCATAGCTGTAAAAAGAATGGTAGTACAGAATAAAGACAGTACAATCAAGGGGGAAAACCAGCTTTGGGATTTAAAGGAATATAGAAGAAACTGAAGGGGCTCAACAGTTCCAAATAAATATGGGCTGTAGCATTTCAGAGAATGCACATGCAGAATTTAGTCTCTCGATGGGATTCCATTCTCTATGTGTCACAAGAGTACTGAGAAAAATATGAAGTAAACATATTACTTCAATATGTTGATATTAAAATATGAAGTAATTAAACATATTACTTCAATATGTTGATATAAACATTCCCCATATCAAAAAGCTGACAAGATGAGTTTGTAATGGTCATTTTGGCAAGAAAAACTGTAAAAAAGCCTTTTTTTTTTTTTTAAGTGTTTGTTTATTTTTGAGAGAGTGCGAGCAGGGGAGGGGCAGAGAGAGAGGGAGTCAGAGGATCTGAAGTGGGCTCAGCGCTGGCAGCAGAGAGCCAGATGCGGGGCTCAAACCCACAAACCAGGAGATCATGAACCTGAGCATAAGTCAGATGCTCAACTGACTGAGCCACCCAGGAGCCCCTCCCCACCAAGAAGAAACAAAAAAACAAACTTATGAAGTAACTTAAAAAAATAAAAAAGATCTCTTCTGAGCTGAATTCATTCAGTTTCTGAATTCATTTAGATCACTGCTGACGGTGAAATTTAAATAAACAATGTCAAAAATATTGAAGAATACTGTCAAAGTTAAAAAAAAAAAAACATGAATTCTCTCTTTTAGCAGATTTCTTTCCTCTGTTGTTAACTGTCAGCTAATTTCTCAACTTTTTATAAGTAACAATAAGAAAGCATAAAGGGGTGTATTTTATAATAGTCAAGGAATTTTGTATGATTTAGTTAGCAAATGAATCTTCACTGTCATAAACAACCAGGAAAATGCTTTAAAGCATACATGGAAATTAGTCCTAGTTGTCATAAAGACAAAATACATAAGGCATCAAAGAGAAGTAGTTAAGGATGAAATAGTGAATAAGAAATCTAAAAAACCTTTCATTACATCTTAAATGCACTGAGCAGACTTACAGAGCAACTATTTTTAAAAATGCTTTTCTCATATAGGATGGCTTTTCAGGAACATGCAACAATTTCAACTTAATATGAAGTATGATCTTGACTTCCCAGGTTAGAGCATGTATGTACGTGGAGGTTCTGCTATGAGTCCTCAAACTCTACAAGATGGAAAGAGAGAGATCCACCCTTGACCCTTAATCTTTGGGTGAACCTCAGCTGAGTCATTTCATACCAAGAGTACACTCCAATAGCAACAACCCACAAGGGATTTTTTATTTTAAATTTCTTGTACTCACACATTCATGTCACTGAGGCCCAGCTTGCCACTGAAGTGTTTTCCAACATCGCAGCCGAACCACACAGCCTAGAAATGGAGAAAGAGGAAAAAAAGAAAGTCAACATAAATCCTATTTTCCTAATACACCAAACAAGTGGAGGTTTTAACCCCAATGTGGAAGACACAGAAACAACACCAACCTCTCCATCTTTGATGGAGGCTGCAACCATCTTCTTCAAGAAGTCAATGGGCTGGTTGTTATATAGAGTTTTTCTCCCGCCAACCATATTGCTTAAGTAGTCCACTGTGTAAACTCTGTTGTACTTGTGCTGGGGCCGAGGGTCATTCACTAAACAAATCTATTGAGATCAATACCACGTTGATTAGAACATAAAACCAGGAATGTGAAACAAGACACACACACCTCTCCTCTAAGTTCATATGTGGGCATCAAACTCATCACCTCTGCCTACAAGAAAAAAACATTACAAATACCTTGTGTTAAATAACAAAGAAACAAAAAGTGAGTCATGTGAGAGAGATTCTTACAGAATCCAGTTGGGGACACCCTTTGGGAGCTACATCTACTTGTTTTTCCTACTGGCAAGAATTGCCCCAAAACTAATTCTGAAGAACTGTATGCACGGAGTATCAAGGCAAGATAGAGATGACATCTCTATAAGATCCTTGCTCTCAAGTTACAAGACAAGCTCAACTCCTGGCAATACAGCAACCAAGCTGGGATTCCACTGATAATGTCATTTGCTTATAAGAGGGTCAAGATACCAACAAAGTAAGATTCTCTGGTCATCTTGCTAAATTGGTGGAGAAGACATGAAGAGAGCAGAAAAAACTAGGAGAGGACAGTGCTCCCTTCCACAAGAGGGTTCCTAATGAGCCCACAGTACAGAGGTACTCTGAACCCACAGTGAGAAACACCTAATCTCCTTTTATGGTCTTGCACTTGAGATTGATTCTGGGCCCAAATCATGGAAGCATGTGCGAGTTAAACTGACTGCTGGCCCAAAGTTAGAAAAGTCTCTGAAGAGGAGCACTGAGGAAAGGTGACAGATCCTGAGATGATCAACTTTATAATTAAGTACATAAAATATGTCAGAGGAAGGGGGAAAAGAAGTGTGTTTAGTGTCTTGTTTGATGATCGCATGTTAACCCAAGAATCTTATGCCCTTCCCTGTAGTCAACAGGTATCTGAAAGTAAACAGCCAGTGGCTGCCAGTGCCTGTCTCCAACCTTATTTTCCATATTGAAGAGTGGCTTGACATGTTCCCTGTAAAACTCCAACGGTGTTATGGGGCCAATCTTCTGATAATTTTTATCTTTGTCTCGATACTCCCAGGTAAATGTCTCTGGTGGATTACCCAAACAAATGCACACCACTCGGAATATCTGGAAGAAAGGAGGACAAATGAGCAATGGCTAGGGAAAAGTGTTACCTCATCATTTTCTTCAAGCTTGGGAAACACAAGAAATCAGCAGCTTATTCAAGCCAGAAGTTTCACAGGAAATCTAGTACTTCCAAAAATTTGAAGGCTGATGTCTAGGACTTGAGATCATTCAACTTGTGAGTTCATAAACACTCTGAACAATACAATTCTGAAATGTTAATAGTTAGTGCTTAGGATTTTCCCTGCAAATTATACTTCTTTAGCCAAGAAACCGCTCACCACTGATACCCAATAAGATCTGGGTTGCTACTCTGGTGATTATATTTTAAGTGACAAATAATGATGTATTTTATAAATGGATTTCCTTCCCTTTAGGCATCTAGGTTTTCCATTGATTATGACAGGGATCTCCACTAACAGAAAAGGCATTAACTTTTCAGTTGGAGCTTGGATGATAATGCCTATTAAAAGTATTATTAGAACAAAAATAATGGTACGTTCTAGTGGAAGGTACCATTTTTGGGGTCATGAGACCCTATTTTCTAATGATGTCACACCTTTCAAGTTATCATTATAATCCAAGGATATATTTTGCATTATTTTCATCTTATAAAAAGACAAAAATAGAAGCATAAAGAAATATCTTGTATAAGGTCTGCTCTATCAAATTTGCTATCTTTTTAAAAATATAACATAATCTCTACCCCACAGTTACCACCCTGATCCAATTTCATCAGTTATTACCTGCATTATTTGTACTACACGTTTGTATACTCCATTACATTCCAGAGAAATGAATATTTATTGAATGTGCCTATTTTATGCTAGATACTAGGTATCTGCTAGGCTTTGTTAATTCTCATAACACTCTCTCAAGGTATAATTTCCCCTCTCTCTTTTTTTTCTCCCAAGAGATTGAGACTCGAAGAAATTAAGATCTACTTAAGGTCACATAGCCAATAAATGCCAGAACCATGGTCTGAACTAAGGTCATACATTGTTTTTTTTTTTTTAAAAAAAAGCTCTATGGGTACAGGGTTTAAGAAAAAGGAACATTTCAGGGGCGCCTGGGTGGCTTGGTCAGTTAAGCGTCCGACTTCGGGACTTCAGCTCAGGTCATGATCTCACGGTCCGTGAGTTTGAGCCCGCATCGGGCTCTGTGCTGACCGCTCAGAGCCTGCAGCCTGTTTCGGATTCTGTGTCTCCCTCTGTCTCTGTCCCTCCCCTGTTCACGCTCTGTCTCTCTCTGTCTCAAAAATAAATAAACGTTGAAAAAAAAAAAAAAAAAGAAAAGGGAACATTTACTGAATGTCATGCTGTACTATAGTCTTTGAATACCACATCTCTAAATCTTCTAAACAAAAGTAGTATGTTATTTCCATTTTACAAATAGAGAAACCAATACTCAAGGGAAAACTAATAAGGGAAAACTTCAAGGGAAAACTAATAGAAAACTAATAAATGGCAGAATTAGGATTTGCATTCAGATCTGATTTCAGTGCTGTTTCCATACCACCACGAATCAAGTATTTAACACTGTAACTTTCTCGGTTTCATATAATTTGTCTCCTCAAAAGACCATAAACTTCTTAAGGATAAGGACCAGGTCATGGATATTTGGTCTTTCCTACAGCATAGCATGTAGCACTATATCTGATCTAGATATAATAGCTGATCTGAACACTGTTCTATTCTCCACATCATTAGAGGATGAGTAATTTTAGAAACATTAGTTTCTTCAAGTCATTTCCCTGTTGAAGATTTCATAATGCTTCCCTATTACCTCCCACAACAAATCTAAATTCCATGACCTTATTTACTATTCTCACTTTTTTTTACTGAGACATAACATACATTCAGTAAGTATATAAAGTACACTAATCTGAAATATACAGCTCTATTCAACTTTTTATATACACACATACCAATGTAACTACCATTTATATCAATATACAGAACATTTTCGGGGCTCCAGAAGTTCCCCGGTCCCTTGGCAATCAATAACCCACACCTCCCCCACGATAAGTACCATTTTGACTTATATAACCATTGATTAATTTTGTCTGTTCTTTAACTTCATATAAATGGAATCATATAGCATATTTTCTTTTGTGTCTGATTCTTTTGTTGACATAATGCCTGTGAGATTCACTGGCTGTGCTGTGGGTATTACTAATTTGTTCTTTATTGCTGTATAGTAGTCCACTGTGTAAACATATTATAGTTTATCTACTCTCTTACAATTTGAGACATGTTGCTTTGTTTTATATTATTTGTTTACCGTGATTATAAATTATCCAAGCCAGTTTGTAACACTTCCAAGTCAGTTTGTAATACTTTGGAAAGAATAGTTGGCTCCAAGCAAACTAACAATAGTTACACAAGCTTTAACTTAAAAAAAATATTTCCAAAGTATAATCTCCAGAGTCTCTGACACTGTATCTTCTTGATAAGAGGCTCTGCTGTTCTGAAATAACATTCCCTGTTCTCAAAAGTACGACTGACAGAGAGCTTTAGATAGCCAAGTCTGCTCTCTGGTGGTCAACCTGGGAATGTCACCTGCTTCTCACAAGACGCACTTGGCATTCAGGACAAAAGAAAAATGCTAGTCATCGAACACAAGTCATTATACACAATTGAATAAAGTAAGACTATAACCATATACCTCAGATTATAAGTACATATGAAAAACCATAATTATCCATTTAGGAAAATATATTTGTGACTTCAATTGAAATTATCCACTCCCCATCCCAGCACTTGCTATCTTTCCTTTATTTTCTTCCATAGCACTAACCTTCTAACATACTATACTTTTTATATATTTTATTCATCTCTATTAGAAAGTAAACTAGGGGCGCCTGGGAGGCTCAGTCGGTTAAGCGTCCGACTTCGGCTCAGGTCACGATCTCGTGATTCGGGAGTTCTAGCCCCATTTCGAGCTCTGTGCTGACAGCTTGGAGCCTAGAGCCTGCTTCAGATTCTGTGTCTCCCTCTCTGTCTCTCTGCCTCTCCCCCGCTCACATTCTGTCTCTCTCTCTCTCAAGAATAAATAAACATGAAAAAAAAATTTTTTAAAAAGAAAGTAAACTATATGAAGGCAAGGATTCCCGTCTGTGTTGTTCACTGCTACATCCCAATGCCTAGATAGTACCAGGGATAGGTGTTAAAGAAATACCTACTGAATAAATAATTTGTAAATGTGATTTTAGACTAAACTTAGTATAAGAACCAACCCGATAAAAAGGTGTTAAAGAGAGCCAAGGGAGTGGATTCAGGGAATATGGGCTCTCTAAAACACTAAAATACTGAAGGCAGAGAAATATGGGTCTCAATGACACATGGGAACTGAAAGTGCTTTTTCTCTAACTTCCCAAACTAATAACAAGGTGACCCTGCTGACTCTGAATATAGTTTAAAAACTAAACAACAACAAACCCCAGAGGAATCCAATGTTTGTAATTATTCCTTAAATAGAGATCACCAGAGAGTGTTGTCTTAAAATTGTGACATGAGCCAAATATAAGAGGGCAATGGTATGCCAAAAATTTATCTCAGTGAAGGATTCACCGAGATCCTTCCCTTGCATACTTTGGGGAGCAAAGGGAAGCTATGCTGAGACATGCTGCATCTATACCTGCCTCTTGTGGCCAGCTGGCTTCTATGATTTTATATCCTTGGCTAATTAAAATTATTGGGAGTTTATGGAGTGCCTGGCTGGCTCAGTCAGCAGAGCATGCAACACTTGATCTCGCGAGTTCAAGCCCCACAGTGGGCACAGAGGCCAATAAATAAATAAACAGGGAGTTTAAACTAACCTCAAGGGGTGCCTGGGTGGCTCAGTCGGTTGAGCGACCAACTTCGGCTCAGGTCGTGATCTCACGGTTTGTGAGTTCGAGCCCCGCGTCGGGCTCTGTGCTGACAGCTCAGAGCCTGGAGCCTGCTTCAGGTTCTGTGTCTCCCTCTCTCTCTGCCCCTCCCCCACTCATACTCTGTCTCTGTCTCAGAAATAAACATAAAAAAAAAATTTAAACTAACCTCAAAATGCAGATATGTGTACCAACCTATAATCCATCAGAAAAGCTTCGACTGGTGTCAGAATGGCCCACGTCCTATTTCCAGTTTATATCCATTTTGTACGATTGCCTATGTTTCTTATTATATTGTCTACAAGTAGGAAGAATGTAAATTATAAAGGGTTTTGCTTCTTAAGTCTAATTTTATAAAAAAAAGATCCATTATAATGGGTCTCTAGAAAAATTTCTCCAGAGAGATCTGTTCATTTTCAATGATCTGCTGAAGTCTACATGGCGAATGATAAAATCAATAAAGGGAATGGAAAAAAGAAAAAAGGACAAAGAAAGCATGAGGCATGCAACATGGAACAGGGAAGGTGTGGATCTCACTTTAAAGACAAATGATGTGGGACTGAATCAATTCCCATAGCCCTGGCTCAATGGGAGACAGACATCAAGTGAGAGGAGGAAGGGAGGATGTAATAGTTGACAATCAGCCATGAACACTTACCAGGGCAAGAGTTTAAAGCTGGCTACAGGCAGACACAGGATGGAGGAAACCATGGTAATTCGAAGGGTTAGAATGGAAGGTAGTTCAAAGATATCAACCTAACTACACTAAATGGAGAAAACTGGTAAAGCTAAAAGATTTTGGTGTCTAGAACCACTATAGAAGTGACAGAATCTTCATTTGTTTTTACAACACTGGGTTGCCGGGAGAGTGGACAATAAAGTCTAATGAACTATAGAAATATTAGTTGCTTACTGCTATAAAAAATGCAAAGCTACAGTGCCCTTAAGAGATGATCTACTCCAACTTACTGATTGAGGAATTAGGCTCAAAGGTAAAATGACCTATTGATCACAGAGTAGAATGGCCACAAAGACACAAAAGGGGTCACCGAAAATAGCTGAACTTTGAAGAAAGTTCAGTGTGGAGGGTAAATAAGCTATTTATAAGAGGGAAGGAGCAGGGCCTTGGGGA